CTCACCGCAACCTCCGCCTCCCGGGTTCAGGCAATTCTCCTTCCTCAGCCTCCTCAGTAGCTGGGATTACAGGCACGCGCCACCATGCCCAGCTAATTTTTTGTATTTTTAGTAGAGACGGGGTTTCACCATGTTGACCAGGATGGTCTCGATCTCTTGACCTCGTGATCCACCTGCCTCGGCCTCCCACAGTGCTGGGATTACAGGCTTGAGCCACCGCGCCCGGCCTTGTAAATGCTTTTAAAATTTCACTGTCTCACAAAAAGACAAATACTGCATGATTCCACGTAAATGAAGTATCTAAAGTAATGAAACTCACAGAAAGTAGAATGGTAGTTGCCAAGGGCTGAGGGGAGGAGGAAACAGGCAGTTGTTCAATGGGTATAGAGTTACATTCATGCAAGGTGAAAAAGTTCCAGAGATCTTTTTATAACAATGTGTACATAGTTAACAATACTGTACTGTATAATTAAAAATTGTTGAGAAGAATCTATATGATATATTATAACATATTATAGATATATTTTTTGCTACAATAAAACTTTTCAATTTCTGATTATTCATTTCTAAAATATAAAATACACTTGATTTTTTCTTAGTGGCCTCATATATTGGAGTCTTATGAAATTCATTTATTCTACTAGCTTTTTATGGATTCCATAGGATTATCTACGTAGGACATTGGGTAGCCTGCAAATGAAGAGTTATCTTTTTTCCTTTCCAATATAGATCCCTTTTCTTTTTTTTGACTTGTTGCCTTGGCTGTAATTTTGAATATAATAGTTTTGAATGGAAATGGTGAAAGTAGACACCTTTGTCTCATTCTTCTTTAAAATGATTTTTTAAAATTTAATTTAATTTTGTTTTGACATGGAGCCTCGCTCTGTTGTCCAGGCTGGAGTGCAGTAGTGCAATCTTGGCAGCAATGCAACCTCCACCTCCCAGGTTCAAGTGATTTTCCTGCCTCAGCCTTCCAAAATAGCTGGGACTACAGGTGTGCACCACCACACCCGGCTAATTTTTGTATTTTTTTTTTTTTTTCAGTAGAGATGGCGTTTCACCACATTGGCCAGGCTGGTCTCGAATTCTGACCTCAGCTGATCCGCCCACCTTAGTCTCCCAAAGTGCTGGGATTATAAGCGTGAGCCACCACACCCAGCCAAGTTGAGGAAATTTTGACCTGTTTGTAATTTTCTGAATGTTTTCTTTTTTAAAATCATGAATAGATATTGGATTTCATCCAAAGCATCTTTTCTGTTTATTGAGAGGATAATTTTTTTCTATTCATGTGGTGAATTATAATGATTGGTTTTCAAATGTTAAATCAACCTTACATTCCTGAAATATATCCACTTGAAGTCTTATCTATTTTATATAATGTTGAATTTGATTTGCTAAAAGGTTTTAAAGAATTTTTTTGCCAGCATTTGCATAAAGGTTGTTGGGGGATTTTCTTTTCTTGTTAATGTCTTTGTCTGGTTTTAGTATCAGTATAATTCTAGCTTCATAGAATAAGTTGGGAAGTATTCTCGCTCTTTCAACTCTGAGAAAGGTCTGTGTGAAATTGGTATTATTTCTTCCTTACACATTTAGTAGGAATTCCCAAGTGAAATGATTAGATCTGGAGTTTTCCTTCAGGAAGATGTTTTTTTCAGGAAGATTTTTAACTGTACATTAAATTTCTTTGATAGATAGAAGTACATTCATATTTATTAATATATATATATATATATATTTTTTTTTTTTTTTTTTGAGACGGAGTTTCGCTCTTGTTACCCAGGCTGGAGTGCAATAGTGCGATCTCGGCTCACCGCAACCTCCGCCTCCTGGGTTCAGGCAATTCTCCTGCCTCAGCCTCCTGAGCAGCTGGGACTACAGGCACGCGCCACCATGCCCAGCTAATTTTTTGTATTTTTAGTAGAGACGGGGTTTCACCGTGTTGACCAGGATGGTCTCGATCTCTTGACCTCGTGATCCACCCGCCTCGGCCTCCCACAGTGCTGGGATTACAGGCTTGAGCCACCGCGCCCGGCTATTAATATTTTTTGAGTAAATTTTAGGTTTTATTTGTTCTTTTTTCAGTTTCTTTAATGGGAACACAAAGTTATTGATTTGAAGCCTCTCTTCTTTTCCGGCATAGGCATTTGGAACTGTCTATTTCCCCTGAATTCTGCTTTACTTGCCATCTCTAAATTTTGATATGTTGCATTTTCATTTTCATTCAGTTCAAACAGTTTCTAATTGTAATTGCTATCGCTTGCAGAGGGCAATGGGTTCGTTAGAAGTGTTTTATTAAATTTCCAAATACTAGAGGATTTTCCTTTATCTTTTGGGCCTCCTTTCCTTCCTTCTTTCCTCTCCACCTTTCTTGTTTCTTTCTTTCTTAGACAGGGTCTTACTCTGTCACCCAGGCTGAAGGGCAGAGGCCCAATCATAGCTCACTGCAGCCTGAAACTCCTGGGTTCAAGGCATCCTCCTGCCTCAGCCTCCCAAGTAGCTGGGACTATAGGCATGTGCAACTACACCTGGCTAATTAAAAAACATTTTTTTGGCTGGACGTGGTGGCTCGTGCCTGTAATCCTGGCACTTTGGGAAACCGAGGTGGGAAGATCACTTGAGACCAGGAGTTTGAGACCAGCCTGGCCAACATGGCGAAACCCTGTCTCTGCTAAAAATATACACACAGAAAAAAAATTGGCTGGGCATGGTGGCACATGCCTGTAATCCCAGCTACTTGGGAGGCTGAGGCACAATAATAACTTGAACCCAGGAGGTGGAGGCTGGAGTGAGCCAAGATCATGCCACTGTACTCCAGTCTAAGTGACAGAGCAAGACTCTTTCTCAAAACAAAACAAAAAAAAACCCTTACTTTTTTTTTTTTTTTTTTTTTTTGTAAAGGGGAGGTTCTCATAAAGTTGCCCAGGCTGGTCTTGACCTCCTGGCCTCAAGTGATCCTTCCACTTCAGTCTTCCAAATTGTTGGGATTACAGGTATGAGCCAGTACACCTGGCTTGGTGTTTATATCAAATTTATTTACTTTTGGTCAGAAAAGATATATGGTTTGATTGGTAAATATTCTGCCAGAGTAAGTGTACTATAAATATCAGTTAGGTTAAGTTAGTTGATGGTATTCTTCTCTATCTTTACTGATTTTCTCTTTATCATATAATCAATTATTGAGAGAGTAATATTGAAATCTCTAACTGTAATTGTGAATTTGCCTATTTATTCTTGCATTTCCATTTCTATCAGTTTTTTCTTCATGTACTTTGACACTCTGTTACTAAGTACATAAACATTTTGGATTCTTATGTCCTCTTGCTGAGATGATCCTTTTATCATTATGAAATAAACTTCTTTTTTTTTTTTTTCTTTTTTTTTTTGAGACGGAGTTTCGCTCTCGTTACCCAGGCTGGAGTGCAATGGCGCAATCTCGGCTCACCGCAACCTCCGCCTCCTGGGTTCAGGCAATTTTCCTGCCTCAGCCTCCTCAGTAGCTGGGATTACAGGCACGCGCCACCATGCCCAGCTAATTTTTGTATTTTTAGTAGAGACGGGGTTTCACCATGTTGACCAGGATGGTCTCGATCTCTTGACCTTGTGATCCACCCGCCTCGGCCTCCCAAAGTGCTGGGATTACAGGCTTGAGCCACCGCTCCCGGCCTTATGAAATAAACTTCTTTAACTCTGCTAATATTCTTTGCTCAGAAACCTACTTGTTCTGATGTTAATGTTGCCACTCCTGCATTCTTTAGATGTGTGCATGTGTGTATACTACCCTTCATTGAATCTGTTTACGTCTCTATTTAAAGTTTGTTTCTTTTGAGCAGCATGTAGTTAGGTCTTGCTTTTTAAAAAACTGTATCTGACAATGCCTATGTTCTAATTGGGGTATTTAGAGTATATATAGAATATTCTTACTGACACCTCAGTAAATATGAATTTTTTCTACTTTGGTGATGTAAGCATGAGCTTCCCAGCCCTGTGTGAATCCTGAATATTGTTTTCTGTGTTCCCCTTTGGGGTTTACTTTCTGACCTTGAGTGGTTTTTTCCGTCACATGCACTCATCAGGTACCCAGATGAAGACTTGAGGGTGACCCTCTGCAAAACTCTGAGGCTCTCCCTGCAGCTCTTCTCTGGTATTCTTTCCTAAAAGCTCCAGCTAGCTTGACCTTCTGAGATTCCCAGCTCTATGCCCTCAATTCAAATCAGAGGAATGAGAGAGTCATATTGTACTTCATGAGCTTTGGGCATAGAAAAGAGGGAACTGTTGTTGCCCTGGTAGGTGGGCCCATGCTGGAGATGTGGTGAAACTTTGGTGCTATGGTGCAGTAATGAAGGACTAAAGAGGATAAGAATATGGGAAGTGAGCTCAACTCCAGTGGGACGTGAGCTCAACTCCAGTCTCCAGTGGCGACTAGTGCAGGCAACCAGGCAATCCAGTGCACAGTATCTAAGCCTCCAAGTTGCCGAGGAGCAGATGAGATAGACAGGTCACAGGATCAGAAGCCCAACTTGTCTGGAAAGGCATGGCAGTAGCAGTGTACATACAGAGCAGCCTAATTCCAAGAATGCTCTCACTTTGGTGGATAGCCAGAACCCATTTAGGTGAATAGGAGCTAAATGATTGGTCTGGCTGCCTAAGAAATGGGGCCAGATGCTGTTGTCTTGAATTTGTTATGGGGCAGGGCCTGAGGACACTACGCTAAAGTGGGCAAAGAAAAAGGATGGGTTTAATGCACAAGCAAGAACTGTCCCTTAGACTGGGCTCAGTGGCAGGAAATCAGAAAAGCATAATATAAAAATTATTGGAATTCCCAGAGCTCACCCTTATAAACATCAAATCCAATGTGACAGGACAGACAGAGCAAGAAGTGGGGTCAAGACTGCTGATGAACTTCTTGCCATGATCAGGAAGTTAAATGGACTTGGCCTATGTGGAAAGGACACCAGAGCGTTCAGCTGTGAGGCCACTTTCTAATAAAATGACCTGGAGAAGTATTTCTAATAAAGTGACCTAGAGAAGTTCAAGATGGAACTTGAACTTGTTCCATAGCCATCGAGAGTGGTCTGCTTTTATTTTGTGTTTAAAACTGAATGCTTTTGGATTTTTACCGGTCTTCTTAACGTTGACCTACCAGAACATGGCCAACTGGGAACCTGTTTTGTTGTAGGTGTGCCCACTGCCTTGCCCCCCGCCCATCAGATCCCTTCGCTCGCTTCTGTCAAGAATGTGGCTCACCTGTCCCACCCATATTTGGCTGTCGTCTCCCACCCCCGGAAGGAGCTCAGGTGAGCAGCAGCATTCTTAAAAACATCTTTCATTGGTTGATCTGACCTTTATTTGCAGCAGTAACACCGTGCTTGGTACACATGAACCACACACATAAATACTCGTGGAAGAATTTTTGGCTGGTTGAACTCTTACACACTCCTACTTAAGCATGGAAAAACTTATTTACAATGCTGTGTCTTTTGTGTGGCCTGCCAGAAGCACAGACTCAAAAAAGATTGGAATCTTACTATTTTAATGAGGCGTGCATGGATAAGCTCTGCTCATATCCTGGGTGTAATAAGGAAATATATTCTAGAAATTAATGAAGAGAAGTACCAATTACTTTATGTCTCTGTATATCTATATAGCCATGCGGTGTATTATTCTGTCCAAAGAATCTGTAGATTGACCTGTGTATTTAAATTTAATAGCTTTGGCTGATTAAGGGTAGATAATAATTGATATTATGTCACTACTAATTTTGGAGGTAGTTAAAAAACATATTTGGCTTGCTAAAAATTAAAACCTTTTCCAAAATGTGTTCATTTTTTGAGCGCTTGAAATTTTGGGGATTTTTATTGGACTGGAAATAAAGAGATGAAAATAAAATAAAGGAATCTGTGATACTGAGTGAAAAATTACCATTTGAAAAAAGATAGTTACTAAGAAAAAGTCACTAATTGAGTGAGTTCGAAGTCCAAGGTTTTGATTTGAGTTATGCCTCAAGCAAGGGGTGCATTAAGTGGCTATCTGTTTTAATATTCTTCTAATATATTGCTCAAGATTTTTGTAGAAGTTGATTTAATTTACTTCAGTGATACATTTTAAATTCCTTAAATATTTTGCTAATATATAATGGCAGAATCTTAGGAAATAAGTGTGGGAGTTGATTTTAAATAAAAACAGACTATAACACCAAATTGGACCAAATTCATTGTGTGCAGCTTGTAGAGATTCTGGACTAAATGTGTTAGTGAAAGAAGACAATACAGAAAACAAAATATGAACAAGTCCCATTGGTTTGATTTTTCTCTGTTTATATTAGTTGGTGCAATACCGAAATTATTTTCTACTTGCCTGGAAAGGGATTTTCACAACTAACTTGGTTTTTACAAGGAGGAAAGGTTATCAGTGTTTATAAATACTTAACACGATGAACTTTAAAACACCTAGATTGCCCCCCAATTATATTTCTATTAGTGCAACAATAGGCGTTAATGTATAACAGCTTTGTAATTTAAGCTAACAACCATTTATTGAGTACTTACTGTGTCCTGCTCTGAGCTGGGCTTCTGGGATTCAAAGGGGCAGGACCCTACTTCTAGACCCAAGACTCTCGGAGAGTCTCAGTAAAGAGATGCAGAGGTGCGTGCTCTCCTCTCTCTTTGCTCTTGTGATGTGAGCTAACCTGTAGGACACCTGGTTGTGCTGAACTCTGTGAATTTCAGTGTTGTCTGTGGACGCTTCTCAATGAGTTCCACTGGCACCCCAGCCAGCTTCCCAGATAGCCTCTCGGGCATCCCAGTAGCAGCTTTCCAGCAAGTTCAGCAGCATCTCTATCTGACTTCACAACATGTTCTGCCTGTTCCCTAGATGGGGAGTTCCTAATGAGTTCCATTGGATCCCAGTGGGCTGCTTTTTCCTTGCCAGCTCTGATACGTGTCACCTCAGTGAACTTCTCTGCCATCAGTGGGTGACAGCCACACTCAATTCAATGAAGTCTGATTCCAGCCTTAGGTGTGGGGCAAAGTAAGTGCCTCTTCCAAATTTGATCCTCCTTGGGCTCTCTGTCTCAGCCATAGAGGTAGGGGATCCTCCCTGTGTTTGGAATTTCTGTATATTACCCATTAGTAGTTAAGCCCTGGCTTCCAGTTAATAATTATTTATATGAACGTTTCCTGTTCAAATTACTTGTGGTTGCTATCTCCTGATTGGACTCTGACTGAAACAGAATTGGTACTGGGATTGGTCCCAGGAAATAAACCTGTGAACAGGGGATTTTGGAAATCGTTTGGTCTTTTCCTTTGCTTGGAGCAGTACTGAGCTCCTTGCCAATGGGAAATGGGACACTGGTGATCCATAGCATGAGGGGACATCACAATTAATCACGCTGACACCTGTGGCTGATTGTGATGAAGTGCCGACTGAAGCAAGTGTCTTGAGTGGCCAAGTAGCTGCTGCATTTGACTCCATGACAGTGACAATGACTATGACTACAAAAACTGTGGAGGATGTATTCTCCTGAGTCCATGGGAGCATTCACAGCTCAAGACCTTTAAGTCATGGTGCAGGAGCCAGAGATCTCCTATGACAGCTCAAAATAATCTACTTCTTATAGCTTCAGGGTTATATTGTTGAAAATCAAACAAACATTACATTGTGTATGTTGGGGACTTATAATGTCAGTTACATTCACCTGATCACCACATTTCTTATGTGAAAGTTAGGCCATTAATTGGGAAAGAATGTGGTCCTGAAACTCAGATGGAGATGGCAGGTGGGACCCAGATGAAACTGACAGTCTTGTATCCTTGTCACTCTGTGCTTCCTGGCCAATGGATGTAGTTTACTCTTATGTCTGAGGATGCCCTTCTGTCTGAGGATACCAGCCTTCATTTGCTTGAAATGTTTGTGATCATCTCACCTGGGCAGATGGCTTGAAAGGGGGTGTTTATTCTCCTCACAGGTTGTTGCAGGTGGTTTAGACCCATCACAACCACCTGTCACATTCTAGGGACCCAACCCAGCATGCTGTAGGAGGACAGGTGCATTCTGTAATCCAGGAGGAAATAATTTACACACACAAAGAGGAAGATTTTATTAACATATGGTAGCAGAGTCTTGGGGAATATGTGTGTGACTAGATTCTAAATAGAGACAGTGTAACATGAAATTGGTATAAATTCATATAAGTTACCTCCTTAAAGGATCTATCTCCAAATATAATCACATTGGCAGTTGAGGCTTCAATATAATGAATTCTGGGGGACACAGTTTAGTCCATAACACCCAGCATCATGTGGAGCAGAGAATACAAAGACTTAGGCAAACAGAGAGTTGGAGTGGGTTTGATATGTGTGTCTTGCACCCCTGACTCTTATCTACATTCCACAAGAAGGCCCAGAAGACACTTCCATCACTAAGATATAAAAGCATACATTAACAGAGGAGCAGCTGCATCCTTAAAAAGTTTGGTGGCTGCTTTCCTTTATAGGCCAGATATGATCATGGGGGATGCTACTATTTAGGTGGGCTCCCTGATCTCACTGGAGCTAGTGAGATCCCAGAGTGGAAGAAGTCAAGTGGCAGCACTTAACTGCCGAAGACAAGACAGCCATGATGTTTCAGTAAGAGGAATCTGATCGTGGGATCCCTAGGAATGACAGATGGACAGTCTCCTAGTATATTGCTTGGTCTGTATAATTGAAAAATGCTAGATCATGTAGCTAAAAACTGACTTGAGCCACTGCATTGGAGCAACCAAGTTTCTCACCCAGTTTCTAGATGTAAGTCAGTTCATAAATTCAGAGTCTCTCGATTGAAGGGGAGGCTGGGTCTCCTTAGGGACGGACCCTGGAGCTTTTCAAGTACACATCAGAAATCTTCCTTGAATGCTTCCCCAAGGGGATTTGTTGCTTTCAATTGAGTGACTGTGCATTAAGGAAAAAAAATGCCCCAATCTTTAGGGGAATAATCTGATACTGGCTCTAAATTCATGCTAATTCTTGGAGATTGAAAACACCACTGTGGTCCCCCAGTAAAGCTGGGGCTTTAGGTGCTCAGGTGATAGATGGAGTCTTAATCTCAACTCTGACCTGTAGTTGTTGCTTCAGGTATTTTGGGGGTTTGCTGTTATGTCCATGCTATCGATTGAATCTTTGTGTCTTCCCCAAAATTCGTATGTTGAAATCCTGATCCCCAGGGTGATGGTGTTAGAAGGTTGGGTCTTTGGGAGGTAATTAGGTCATGATGATGAACCCCTTATGAATGGGATTAGTGCCCTTATAAGAGAGGCCCAGAGGAGCTTGTTTGCCCTTCCATTATGTGAAGACACAGCTAAAAGGCGCCATCTGTGAAGCAGAGGTCAAGCCCTCACCAGTTACGGAATTTGCTGGCACCCTGATCTTGGATTTCTCAGCCTCCAAAACTCTGAGAAATAAATCTTTTGTTTACAAGCCACCCACTTTATGGTATTTTGTTATCGCAGCCTGAACGGACTGGTATGTTCATATATACTTATAATTACTGTTGCTTCCTGACTTATTGACCCTTTTATCATCACAAGATGTCTCTCTTTGTCTATGCTAATACTTCTTGTCTTAAAGTCCTTTATTCTCTGATATTTATGTAGCTACTCTAGCTCTTTTATGGTTACTGTTTGCATTGTAAGTCCTTTTCTATGCTTTTACTTTCAATCTATTTGTATCTTTGAATTTAAGGTGTTTCTAGTAGACAGCAGGTAGTTGGGTCTTGTGTTATTTCTTTTGTTATTTTTAGTGTGCCATTTTAATGCTTCTGTTGATTTTTTTTTTTACTAGTTTTAAAGTTACCTTAAGCACTAGAGATTACAATATGGACCTTAATTTATCACATTCTATTTTATTTAATTTTGGTTTTTAATTTTTGTGAGTACATAGTAGGTATATGTATTTATGGGTACATGAGATGTTTTGATGCAGGGATGCAATACATAATAATCACATCATGGAAGATGGGGTGTATCACAGTCCATTTTAGAATAATTTCACTCAATTCTACTAAAATATAGAAATTTCACTCCTTTCCCCTTTGTTTCTATTTCTTTTCTTTTTTGAGATGGAATCTCCTTCTTTTACCCAGGCTGGAATGAGTACAGTGGCACAATCTCGGCTCACTGCAACCTCTGCCTCCTGGATTCAAGTGATTCTCCTGTCTCAGCCTCCTGAGTAGCTGGGATTACAGGCATGCACCACCACACCCAACTAATTTTTGTATTTTTTGTAGAGACAGGGTTTTACCATATTGGCCAGGCTGATTGGTCTTGAATTCCTGACCTCAAGTGATTCCCCCCACCCCCCACCCAGCATCCCAAAGTGCTGGGATTGCAGGTGTGAGCCATTGTGCCCCACCCCTTTCTTTCTTTTTCTTAACATTGCTTAAGTATCCTCTTCCTTTCTTTATCTTTTATGTAATTACCATATATATTGCATCTATATATATTATAAACTAAAAAGTGCAGTGTTATACAATCATGTCATTTAAAGAAGATGAGATAAAGTGTCTACGGAGTCATTTATATCTGCCCTCATATTTATTATATCTGGTCTTCTCACTTCTTCCTGTGAACTCAAGTGATCATCTAGTGTCATTTCCTTTCAGCTTGAAGAACTTCCTTCAGTATTTCTTGTGAGATATGTCTGCTAGCCATTTCTCTCTGTCTTTGTGTATGTCAGAATATTGATTTTGCCTTCATTTTTGAAGGATGGTTTGCTGCAGATGTAATTCTGGTTTAGCAATTATTTTCTCTTTCAGCCTTTTGAATTTTCATTCTACTGCCTTCTGCCCCCCATTGTTTTTGATGCATAAGTAGCTTTTTCTCTTGTTACTTTCAACATTTTCTCTTTGTTTTTGACCTTCGGCAGTCTGATTATAATGTGTTTAAGTGTGGTCTCTTTGTGTTTGTCTTTCTTGGGATTGATTGAGCTTATTGGATCTGCTGAGTTTTGGTTTTCCCCCAATGTGTGAAATATTGGCCATTGTTTCTTTAATTCTTTTTGTGTTCCTTTTTCTCTCTCCTTTACACGTATGTTGCTATACTTGATTTTGCTCCATAGGTTTTTGATGTTCTGCTTATTTTCTTCGGTCTTTTTTCTCTCTTTTTTTCAGATTAGATAATTTCTGTTGTTGGGCTATATGTTCAAGTTCACTGATTCTTTGGTCTGATATCTGATCTGCTTTTGAGTCCCTCTGGCAACTTAAAAAATTTAATTTACTTTTCAACTCCAGGCTTTGATTTAATTCTTTTTTTTTTTTTTTTGAGATGGAGTTTCGCTCTTGTTACCCAGGCTGGAGTGCAATGGTGCCATCTCGGCTCACCGCAACCTCCGCCTCCTGGGTTCAAGCAATTCTCCTGCCCCAGCCTCCTGAGTCGCTGGGATTACAAGCACGTGCCACCATGCCCAGCTAATGTTTTGTATTTTTAGTAGAGACGGGGTTTCACCATGTTGACCAGGATGGTCTCGATCTCTTGACCTCGTGATCCGCCAGCCTCGGCCTCCCACAGTGCTGGGATTACAGGCTTGAGCCACCACGCCCGGCCCTGATTTAATTCTTTTTAAAAAAATAATTTCTGTGTCTATTGAGGTTCCTTATCAATCAGATCATTATCATCATACTTTGATTTTTTATCAAACATGGTTTCCTTTAGTTCTTTGAACATTAAAAAAAATAACTGCTTTGAAATCTTTATGTACTAAATCCAGCATCTAAAGGCACTCAGATAATTTCTGTGGACTGTTGACTATTTTTCCCCTGAGTGTAGGTCACTTTAATTTTTGCATGTCTCATAATTTTTTTCTTGACTACTTCAGGTAGCATATTCTAGCAACTTTGGATTCTGACTTTTTTTCCTTGAAGGTTGTTGATTTGTGTTTTGTTTACTTGGATTAAATCTTTAATGTCTGTCTCCCCTGCAATGTGTGACCACTAGTGTCAGGCTTTTTATTTTTTAATTTTTTTCTTAATTAGAGAAGTAAAGAAACAAAAGAATGACTACTCCATAGACAGAGCAGCAGCTTTTTAAAAAAAAATTATACTTTAAGTTCTGGGATACGTGTGTAGAACATGCAGATTTGTTACGTAGGTATACGTGTGCTGTGGTGGTTTGGTGCACCCATCAACCATCATCTAGGTTTTAAGCCCTGCATGCATTAGGTATTTTTCCTAATGCCCTCCCTCCCCTTGTCCCCCACCTCCTGACAGGCCCTAGTATGTGATGTTCCCCTTCCTGTGCCCATGTGTTCTCATTGTTCAACTCCCACTTATGAGTGAGAAAATGAGGTGTTTGGTTTTCTGTTCCTGTGTTAGTTTGTTGAGAATGATGGCTGCCAGCTTCATCCATGTCTCTGCAAAGGACATGAACTTATTTTTTTAATGGCTGCATAGTATTCCATGGCGTATACATACATATTTTCTTTATCCAGCCTATCATTGAAGGGCATTTGGGTTGGTTCTAAGACTGCTATTGTAAATAGTAGAGCAGCAGCTTTTTCTTGCTCTATTTAAGCCTCATGTTACTTTTGGGTTAGCATATCTTAGTGTTCAGTTAGCCAGAGATTGTGCTCAGGTAGCTGCGTCCAGGAAGGCCTCCACTCCCTGCTGATGGATCTGCGTGTCAGCTGGGTAGCTTTCAAACTTAAGGCTATTTTCCAGCCCCAGCTCTTACTTTATGCCGAGCTCTCTTGCATCTCTATGGGCAGTTCCTGGGAAGCCCAGACAGCAATCACAAGGGCATAGTGTTCTTTTCTGCAGCTCAGTCATTTTCAGGAACTTCTCAATTTATTATTTGCCTGTTGATGATTTTCAGGGTGCTGAAGTAGTTGCTTTTTGACAGCATTATCTGACTTTCTCAGCCTCCTGAGTAGCTGGGACTACAGGCATGCAGCGCCATGCCTGGCTAATTTTGTATTTTTAGTAGAGACGGAGTTTCATCATCTTGGCCAGGCTGGTCTCAAGGTTTCATTATCTTGGCCAGGGCTGTGTGGGTGGTTTGGGCCTACTCTGGTTTATACTGCTCATGTGCATACCTGCAGTCAACTAAGGATATATGGAGAGCTATGAAGCCCTTATCATTGAATTACCTCCTGGAACTGCATGTTAAATCCTAGGTCAGTTTGCCAGTCAGTGCATCAATTAACCTCAAACAGGCTCATTATCTCGGACTAGGGGACTACTGGTCTTCCTTGTTTGCCTGCCACCAAAATTGTCACCTTAATAGTACTCCAAATCAAGTGAGCCCTGCCCATCAGCAGTCAACAAAACTTCTAGTTTTCACAGCCTGCCTTGCCCGGGTGGAGCCACCACACTGACAAAGCTAGGGGAGGAGGGGGCAGCCCAGGCAACAACCACACAGAGCTTAGTGTTCTTTTCTGCAGTTCAGTCATTTCCAGGAACTTCTCAATTTGTTGTCTGCCTTTCGATGACTTTCAGGTTGCTGAAGTGCTTGCTTTTTGACAGCATTGTCTGACTGCGTGATTACTTTTTTTTTTTTTTTTTGAGATAGAGTCTCGGTCTTGTCACCCAGACTGGAATGCTGTGACGTGATCTCCACTCAATGCAACCTGCAGCTCCTGGCTTCAGGCAATTCTCCCACTTCAGCCTCCCAAGTAGCTGGGATTACAGGCACCTGCCACCATGCCTGACTAATTTCTGTATTTTTAGTAGAGCCGGGATTTTGCCATGTTGGCCAGGCTGGTCTCGAACTCCTGACCTCAGGTGATCTTCCCACCTTGGCCTCCCAAAGTGCTGGGATTACAGACGTGAGCCACCGTGCCATTCCTGTGATTCCTTCTAAGGAAGAGGATTTATAGACCTCCTCATTCTATCATGCTATTAATTAATTTCCTATGGATATTTTTCTTTTTTTAACATCTCTTGGCCGGGCGCGGTGGCTCAAGCCTGTAATCCCAGCACTTTGGGAGGCCGAGGCGGGTGGATCACGAGGTCAAGAGATCGAGACCATCCTGGTCAACACGGTGAAACCCCGTCTCTACTAAAAATACAAAAAATTAGCCGGGCATGGTGGCGTGTGCCTGTAATCCCAGCTACTCAGGAGGCTGAGGCAGGAGAATTGCCTGAACCCAGGAGGCGGAGGTTGCGGTGAGCCAAGATCGCGCCATTGCACTCCAGCCTGGGTAACGAGCGAAACTCCGTCCCCCCAAAAAAAAAAAAAAAAAAATCTGTCTTTTCTACAATGAACATGTTTTTACTCTTAATAGGAATAAAATAATAAGAAATATAATATTGCTATTTTATTTTCTATTATTTACTTTTTAATTGACACATAACAATTGTACATATTTATGGGATATGTGGTGTTATTTGATACAGTGTGCAGTGGTCAAGTCAAAGTAATTAGCATATCTTTATAAAGGTAATTATTTTAAAAATTGTTTTACAAAAACAAATCAAACCTTACATTCACCCATCCAAGTACTAACCAAGCCGGACCTGCCTGGCTTTTGAGATCAGATGTGATCCGGAGTGTTCAGGGTGGTATAGCTATAGACCAAACCTTACATTCTAAGATCTATTCATGCCTTCAGTTTTTACATGCAAGATAAAGTGGACCTTTTCCTTGTACAGATGGGCTTATGTGCAGAATGCAGAAACTTGGTACCCATGAACACTCCCATCTGCGTGGTGTGCGAGGCCCCTCTTGCTCTACAGCTGCAGCCACAGGCAAGCCTCCATTTGAAGGTAACGAAATGAAATTCTGTAAAAACATGAATGAAATACATAGAAAGCAATGTCTGAACAGGTATATGTCCTTTTTCAGCTGGTGGGACGGGGTAACAATATATATATATATTTTTTGAGACAGAGTCTTGCTCCATCACCCAGGTTGGAGTGCAGTGGCATGATCTCAGGTCATTGCAACCTCTGCCTCCTGGATTCAAGTGATTCTCTTGCCTCAACCTCCCAAGTAACTGGGACTATAGGCATGCACCACCATGCCTGGCTAAGTTTTGTATTTTTAGTAGAGACAGAGATTTCATCATCTTGGCCAGGCTGGTCTCAAATTCCTGACCTCAGGTGATCTGCCTGCCTTAGCCTCCCAAAGTGCTGGATTACAGGCGTGAGCCACCACGCCCAGCCAGGAGGGGGTAGCAATTGATAAGCTAATATACAAGAACAAAATCCATTCTCATTTTTGGTAAGACATGCTGTCCAAGAGTTTAACTTGCCAATAGGATCCATAATATTAAAAGAGATGGCTGGGGCAGTGGCTCATGCCTGTAATCCCAGCACTTTGGGAGGCTGAGGTGGGTGGATCACCTTGAGGTCAGGAGTTTGAGACCAGTCTGGCCAACAAGGTGAAACCCTGTCTCTACTAAAAATAAAAAAAAAATTAGCCGGGTGTGTTGGCATGCGCCTGTAATCCCAGCTACTCTGGAGGCTGAGGCAGGAGAATCACTTGAACCCAGGTGGCGGAGGTTTCAGTGAGCTGAGATCATGCCATTGCACTCCAGCCTGGGCAACAGAGACTCCCTCTCAAAAAAAAAAAAAAATTAAGAGAGATATGTAGCATTGTATTCCATGAACATGGATTTGGAGGACGAATTGCACTACAGCTGACGTAGACAATTTTTTACTTCATATATTTAAACTTCAACATTGCAATTAGTATTGATTTATAATCTTGTCCTTAAAGTGGTTTCATACTTTTGTTTGCCTTATTTGATTATAGGTTCTTATTATGGAGAAAAAGAATGACTAGAACTAGTCACGTGGAAGAAAAAGTTATGTATCATCACTTACATCCAAAAAACTTTGCTAGAAAAATGATATCGTACTGTGAAAAATTTTTTGATAGAATCATTAAACATACAACTAAATCTTTTCTCCATTCTGCAATTTACAGTCCCATTTATGTCCTCTTTAATCCCAAGTAAAGGTCACTGGAGGATAAAATAGATTTAATAGAGGGAATTTGGGGATAAGAAAACCAAGCGTTTTTAGCAGTAAGGGAAATGCACGGTCTTAATGTACAGGCCATAACACTTCTAAGATGGTCTCGTGGGTTGTACATGGGCAAAATGTGTTCAGAGAAAAGAGAAGTCCACTTGTCCTTCCACCTTCAAGCTCTCTTTAGCATAAAGAGTTCACAAATATCCAAGGCTGTGTGAGCCTTCAGAAATGAGATTTTGAAAAACTGGCCAGGCCAAAGTCAGGTAGAGGAAAATTTACTGATCTTTTTGTTTGATGACTATTTTCAATCCTAAGATGCTTTAAAAGCTACTGCAGAAGCCAGGCGCAGTGGCTCATACCTGTAATCCCAGCACTTTGGGAGGCCGAGGTGGGCGGATCACCTGAGGTCAGGAGTTCAAGACCAGCCTGACCAACATGGAGAAACCCTGTCTCTACTAAAAATACAAAATTAGCTGGATGTGTGATGCATACCTATAATCCCAGCTACTCAGGAGGCTGACATAGGAGAATTGCTTGAACCAGGGAGGCAGAGGTTGTGGTGAGCCAAGATTGTGCCATTACACTCTAGCCTGGGCAACAAGAGCAAAACTCTGTCTCAAACAAACAAACAAACAAACAAAACTACTGCAGGAAGCCACCATACAGTCCTGGAAGTCTGTCTTTAGACTTCTTATATATATGAGAGAGAGAAATCTATTTTTCTCTTATTAAGCCTCTGTTATTTTGGGTGTTCTGTCAATCACAGCAGAATCTATTCTTATTAATACATTTATTCAGGATGTTTGAAGATAATATCATTGCAAACTCTTTGGACTATTCAAAACAGGAAGAATAGGGGTAAATGTTAGTTGTGATCTAAATTCAATACGTATATGTAACACCATCTTCAGTATCTGAAATCTAGAATTTTTTCCATTTTATGGGAAAGCAGAGAGACACAAAGGTACATGTAAGTAATTTTTCCCGTCAATTTATTGTAAATCCTATATTGAGAATAAACACAAGACTTCTACAGTGATAAGTAGCATTAAATCCAGGAGTGGCTTCTTTCTTGCAGGGTACTTTTTATAAGAGAGATTTTTATAACTTATGATAAGTAATAATAGGAATAATTTTACAACTTACTTCTACTTTATTGGTGGACCAAAGTTAGGACATATAATGAGGAAACCAACAATGAATTCAAAGATGAGATTTAGAAAATGCGCCTCAAAACTTTGCAAGGAGTTTGGTTTTGCTGGGCTGTAGCAATGCTGGGGTGCTGTGGGTTGTGGGAGATGATCTCTTCTCTACCAGACCTAATAGCTCAGATTTTTCCCTGTGGGCCCTGAAGGTTGAAAGTGGGTACAGGTTTTAACCAGACTTGATTTGTAGAGGGACTTTTATCATCATAACCTCTGATCCTGGAGAGAAATGCATGACTTTTTATGCCAGACAATCTCTATTACTGCTTCTACTCAGAGAAGGACACCTGTTTGGAAAACCTGGCCTGCCAATCTTCATTCCAGAGCCTCTCCCAGATGTCATAAGGGTGACAGGTTTTGAGTTAACATTCTTATCCAGACAGCCACCTCTGAGGTTGGTGGGAATACTCGTGTGAACTGCTCAGGGAAGCCAGGAAGCCTAACCTGGCAGGCAACAGCATGCCATTGACAGCTCCCTTCCCCTTTCAGCACTGGTCTCTAGCTCACTCCACTGAGTACAAAAGCACCATCTGCTCTCTTCCTTCTGTGATGAAGACAGATTCCACAGCAGTTGCAGTCTTGTCTTGTGTGGATTTAAGGCACTATCAATGCTGAGGATTTTTGTTCTACCAGATTTTTTTTCCTGCCAGGATTAAAAGATACAGTAGCAGACATTTCTGTATTTGACCTATGACAAAGATACCTATTTTCAGCATAAGAGAAGATTTTATAATTTACTTCTTTAAAATAATTAATACCTAATTTTTGGTAACAAATAATCCAAAGATATACCAAAAAGTGTATAATTTCTTCACTCTACCTACATTTCTATTTCTCTGACATAACCAATGTTAGCAGCTTAGGGTGTCCTTTTATGTATTTTTCTAGATTCACAGAAATATATTTATATATATACATACATTTAGATTTGGTTTGGTTTGGTTTTTTAGACAAAAATGAAATCATGTTGTATACTTTTCCTTGCAACTTATTTATTTCACTGAACAAATGCATCTATTGGCCATTTTCTTTTTTTTTTTTTGAGACAAGGTCTCACTCTGTCGCCTAGGCTAGTGTGCAGTGGCACAGTCATGGCTTGCCGCAGCCTGACCTCCTGGGCTCAAGTGATCCTCCTACCTCAGGCTCCCAAGTAGTTGGGATCACAGGCATGTGCTACCACACCAGGTGAATTTTTCTATTTTTTGTAGAGATGGGATTTCGCCTTGTTGCCCAGGCTGGTCTGGAACTCCTGGGCTCATGTGATCCTCTCACCTTGGCCTCCCAAAGTTCTGGGATTACAGGCATGAGCCACCATGCCTGGCCTCCACTGGATGTTTTCTAAAGTTTAAAACTAGTTTTAACATCCCTGTTCATCAGAGAACCTTAACTGAAGACATTTACCAAGTTTCCTTTGGAATTTTACGAGCAGCATGCAGTATACCTCCAGGACTTCAGTCATCTTTGTGGTTCTTAGAATCTGTGAGGCTTAGTCTGGGATCCTCCTGAAAAGATCTGATGATTCACATGCCTGAAGCACGGGCTCCTTCAGTGAGTCCCAGCCTTTCATACAGTGATTTGGGGTTAAAACCAGTGTAACCACAACTCCACATCAAGCAGAATTTTAGCTTAGTCAGTTTTGACATTAAGTTTGCAATGATCTACTCATTTGTTTTCAACGTTCTTCCTTTTTAGTTGTGTCAATTAAAGCTTGGGAGTTTGAAAATTGTTCTCTTCCTCCAGCTACCTTAAAAGGGAACGTTATATCCCAGTGACTAACTGGCTCTGTTAAATAGCCTACAACCATTCAGCTAGACAATATGTGACAAAAGCTGTGGATGAAATGGCAAATGAGGATATTGACTTTTGAAAAGTTCTCATCAGAGGTGTTTAGCATCCCCATTAAGGCCATCTGAAGGTGGCCTCAATTCCACATCACCCCCACAGACATCTGTGAATTTGTGAGTGTAGTGGATTGTGATATAAAACGATTTCTAACTGTGGGTCATGGTCACTGCTCTAGAAAGAAGTGAGCCATGGCATGGTGTCAAAAGTCTCCACAAAAAATATAGAAAAACCCGTCAACCAAGAAAACTGTTTAATAGACTGGATGCAGTAAGGTGGACCACCACTTAGACAAGTTCGTAGTAGCATCTCAGAAGAAGGAGGGCAGGGAAAGGGTTTAAAGGGTTAGTGCTGGACTGTAATATAAACAATGGGCCATGGGTGATAATGATGTGTTAAGTGTATGTTCACTGATGATGTACCGCTTGGGTGTGAGATGTGCATATTGGGGGGGCTGTGTCTGTGGGGTGGGACATGGTGTATGGGAATCTTCTGTAATTTCCACTCAATTTTGCTGTGAACGTTACATTGCTCTAAAAATGAAGTTAAAAGTTGATTAATTAAAATTTTAAAAACAAAGGGTTTTGTAAGGCAAGGTGGGGAATGGGCAGAGTATGCATTGGGCAAATATATGAGATGCAGTTTTGGATTATGAGCCCTGCAAGGTGAGGTCTTAAAGGAAGCCACTGGACTTGAGAAGTAAGCAGTTTTAGTTGTTCTCCAGTTTTCTCTTCTAGAGAAAGTGTTTTCTGCAGCACACAGCAAGATTACTTTTATTTGATCTCAGGATTTTTTAACATGGAGACAGGAAATTTGTCTCATTTCTCTGTGTTTTACCAGATCTTTCCTGAAGCAACATCTTGAGGAAAGTCATAGCCCTAAATCTCGTGCATAAAGGCTGGCCAATTGCAGATTATGTTGTGGTAACTTTAAATAGCTTTGAAGAATGTTGGCCCCAGGGAGTGTCAGAAACCATTGAGAGCAGGACTGTGATTCTCTGCCATTTTGAATAGCAGTCAGTTGGCCTCTGCCCTTTAGGAGTTGTTTAGATTGGGAACTGTGGTTTCCTGAGTTGGCTCAGTTCCTAGGAAAACTTTGGAATCTTCCACTAAAATGGAATTAACCAGGCTTTGAAAGGCTAGGACTTCATGGAGCTACCTGGTGGTATTGGAAATAAAACCCTGGGAGTTGGGCTTTCTTTTTCTTGATCATCCACTTTACCTGTACCAGCTTCTGAACACACTGTTTGATTTATTAGCTTCAGGACACCGAGGGACCACAGTGCTGGACTAGGAAGGAATACTTGAGCACTACTGGTCATTGACAATTGAAAAAGATTATATCCTGAGAGAATAGAGCGGTCAGTAACGAAACAGTTGTTAGCAAACCTCTGATAGCTGAACGCTTGACTATTTTTACCATCATTTCTTTGTCTTTTGTTTTTCTCTGTGTTGCGACTTAACCCCAGGGTCCTGACTTAGAAAGTTGTACTTAACGACTCTCTTTCTTGGGCAATCTTTCCACTTCTTCCTAAGTAAAAACTACAGAGCAAACCTAAATTCATATTTAACATGAAGCCCCAGAAGGTAAATCCCAGTTCAAGAACCAGATTACTTGTAAACACATAGATAATCCCTTGCTGGTCTAGGGTCTTTCTGTTTACTGCTTAAGCCATAAAATGGAGTGTCTACTCAGTGTCATGGTTTTCACACTGGAGAAACACACACACACACACACACACACACACACACACACACACACACACACACAACCTTACACATAACCAGTGCAGAATTTCCAACTTGCCTTCTGAAGACCACATGAATACTCATTCCAATGTGTGTGTTTGTTTCTTTGGTGTTTTGTTTCTTTTAAAACTACATTCAGGCTGGGCATGGGGTCTCATACCTGAAATTCCAGTACTTTAGGAAGCTGAAGTAGGAAGATCACTTGAGGCCAGGAGTTGGAGACCAGGCTGGGCAACACGGTCAAATCCCATCTCTATAAAAACAAATGGAAGCAAACAAACAAACAAACAAACAAACTACAGATATCTGTCTGACACTATGTATAGTAACTCCTAAACCAATCCAATATTCAGGGTCTGGATGCGGTAAGGGTCTGTAGCTGAATGACTGACAGAAGAGGCTGCTTGATGATTTCTTTGCACAGTTGTTTGCTCAGAGGAACATGTATTTCTTATTTTTTGTTGTGAAGGAGAAGGTAATTTGCCGGGCCTGTGGTACAGGAAATCCTGCTCACCTGAGATACTGTGTCACCTGTGAGGGGGCCCTGCCTTCATCACAAGAGGTAGGTTGACTGCATGTGCCGACCCTATATTTAGTGGCTACTAAATTCAATGTTAATGGTAATAGAGAAACAGAATCTGCCCAGGGGATTGGGGAGAGAGACCAAGAAAAGCTTCTCATGGTAAACTGAAAGCAAGATTTCTATATGTGGAGAGAACTTTATATATTCATCAATACAGAATTGTTTGCAAAGTCTTAACTTCAAGAGGATTCAGTAAGAGCAGTTATTTCTTATGATTTTGTTGAATAACTTTGCATGGGAGGCTGGCATTAGCCTGCGGGAAGTGAACTCATTCACATTTCATTTACAGACAGGTATGTCTTTGTCATCCCCACCACCCCCCACACCCCATGGTCCACTGTCTTTGTTGACTCTACATGCACACTGCTTTTTGAAATTGAGAACATCGTAGCCACCTATTTCTTGGGTTTCCTACAAGCCCGTTTTGAATATTGAAATGAAGGAACAGGAGTATATGCACTTTAAATACAGTGAATAAGTTCAGTCTAGATGATCTATTTTATGTCTATAAAATGCTTCTGATGAAAATTAAAATTACTTCCAGGTGACTCTTGTCTTGTACCACGAAAAAGTTGTCATTTACTAGCCAACTCAGAAGAAAAAACTTGCTTCTTTTGGGTTGCTATATATGTTTTTGACTGTTTGTGGAGTTTGTTCTCATCTCAGAGAGATTCCTCGTGAAACTGGACAGTGCAGTTAGTATGGTCTACAGCCGCGGTCCGCAGCCTTTTTGGCACCAGGGACCGGTTTTGTAGAAGACAATTTTTTCATGGACATGGTGGGGGAATGGATTCAGGATGAAACTGTTCCTCCTCAAATCATTAGTCATAAGTTAGATTCTCATAAGGAGCGCACAACCTAGATCCCTCATGCACAATTCACAGTAGGGTTTGCGCTCCCATGGGAATCGGATGCTGCCGCTGATCTGACAGGAGGTGGAGCACTCACCTCCTGCTGTGTGGCCCAGTTCCTAACAAGCCACAGATCCGTACACGTCCATGGCCCGGGGATCAGGGACCACTAGTCTACATGATTAGTATCAAATGGGTGTGTACTCATTTTTTCCTAAGCATCATCAACTAGGTGGCTAACAACAACGGAAATCTATTGTCTGACATCTCTGGAGACCAGAAGTCTAAAATCAAGGTGTTAGCAGGGCCACGCTCCCTCTGAAGGTGCTAGGGAATGAACTCTTCCATCCTCTCTCCCAGCTTCTGGTAGCCTCAAGCTTCCCTTGGCTTCTAGATGCAGCACTCCAGTCTCTGCCTTTGCCATCCCATGGAGCTCTCCCCGTGTGTCTGCCTGTGTGTGTGTGCCTCTGTGTCCAGATTTCCCTTTTTCATAAGGACACCAGTCACACTGGATTCGGATCCACCCTAATGACCACACTTGAACTTGATTACATCTGTACAGACCATTTTCCAAATAAGATCCCATTCTGGGGTACTGGAGGTTAGGACTCCAACATGTCATTTATCTGTGCAGACAGAATTCAACTCATAACAGTTGAGTTGGACAAGATACCTTTTAACATCGCCTAATCACTGACAGTCTACGAATAGTTGATTTGAAGGAATTCCTCTTGTTTCCAGTTTTATTGAGACATAATTTATATGCAATAAAATTCACCTAGTTTAATTGTGCAGTTTGGTGAATGTTGGTAATTTTCAGCCATTTTCACCACCACCACAATGAAGATATTCTCAAAGAGTATTTTTGATGGATATATATAATTCTAGGCTGACAGTTAATATTCTTTCTGAAATTTAAAGCTGTTCCACGCTTTTCTGGCCTCCATGCTTTCAGCTCAAAAGTCAGATGTGAATCAAACTGACATTTTCACATATGGGATGTGTCATTTTTCTCCCGCTGCTTTTATTAAGATTTGCTCTTTAGTGATGGTTTTTAACAATTTGGCTATAATATACCTTAGTGTGAAGTTATTCTGGTTGGTGTTCATTTAGAATCTTGTAACTATAAATTTCTGTCTTTCATCAGATTTGGGAATTGTTTGGCCATGATTTCTTGATTTTTCTGCTCCACTCATTTTCTTTTTTTTTTTTTGAGACGGAGTTTCGCTCTTGTTACCCAGGCTGGAGTGCAATGGCGCGATCTCGGCTCACCGCAACCTCCGCCTCCTGGGCTCAGGCAATTCTCCTGCCTCAGCTTCCTGAGTAGCTGGGATTACAGGCGCGCGCCACCATGCCCAGCTAATGTTTTGTATTTTTAGTAGAGACGGGGTTTCACTGTGTTGACCAGGATGGTCTCGATCTCTTGACCTCGTGATCCACCCGCCTCGGCCTCCCAAAGTGCTGGGATTACAGGCTTGAGCCACCGTGCCCGGCCCAGCTCCACTCATTTTCTACTGTCCATCTCAAGTCCATATACACATCTGTTGAATTGATATTCTCTAATAGGTCCCTGAGGACCTTTTTTTTAGATGGAGTCTTGCTCTGTCACCCAGGCTGGAGTGCAGTGCTGCAATCTCAGCTCACTGCAACCTCCACCTCCTGGGTTCAAGTGATGCTCCTGCCTCAGCCTCCTGAGTAGCTGGAGTTACAGGTGTATACTACCAAGCCTGGCTAGTTTTTGTATTTTCAGTAGAAACGAGGTTTCACCATGTTGTCCAGGCTGATCTCGAATTCCTGACCTCAGTTAAGCCGCCCACCTTGGCCTCTCAAAGTGCTGGGATTACAGGCATGAGCCACTGCACTGGGCCTGTTCATTTTTAAAAAATCTTTTTTCCTTTCACACTGTATGCTTTCTGTTGATCTATCCTCCAGTTCACTTACACTTTCCTTTACCATATCCTTTTAGATATTAAGTACATCTAGTAAATATTTTATTTAAAATATTATCTTTTTCTGTTCCAGAATTCTCACCTGTTTCTGTTTTTTATGTTTCTATTTCTTTGTTGAGGTTTCCTCTTTTTATTTATTGTGTACAGTGTATATGCTTTAAATTTCTGGTTTGCTTCTTCTAACATCTGATTCATCTTAGGGTCAGACTCAGTTGGTTTTCTTTTTATGTGTGAAGCAGTAGTTCTAGTTCCTTCCAGGCAGCACATTCCCCAAAAGCAAGCATATGTATTATTGCCTGTTAAAGCAAAGCAAACAAACAACAGCAACACTCCCAGAGTAACAGAATCCAGAAAGTACCACAGCCAAACATTCATAATTCTAGGCTACAGTTTAAAATTCCTCAACATACTAAATACCAAGAAAAAAGTTTGAGGGGAGGAGGGATAGAAAGTTTGGTCTCCATTCAGATATTTTGTCTTTAGCTTAGCTGCTTCAAGCCCATTCAGTACATATGTTGTTCAGGGGTTGGTAAGAGATCTGAATACACAGAGTAGATCCCTTCTCTTCTTTCTTTCTAGGAGCTCCCTACTTCTTCAGCCTCCAAATATTCCCCAGCTTCAGTTTTCTGGTTCTCTTGGCCAGAAATACTGCCTTGTGCCCCCCACTTCACATGCGCTATGTAGACTGCCCTTAGTTCCAGGCTGAAAGCCGTGAAGATGGGAACTGACTTTGTATAACTCCCCCACTTCTTGTGTGCTCTTGCTGCAAGTGTATCTGCCTCTGTTCATTCTCCACTGCCTTCATGTATTATCAGCAGATTTTTTTAATCTTGAAATAGAGTCATGCTCTGTCGCCCAGGCTGGAGTGCAATGATGTGATCTTGGTTCACTGCAACCTCCACCACCTGGGTTCAAGAGATTCTCATGCCTCAGCCTCCCAAGTGGCTAGGATTACAGGCGTTCACCACCACGCCTGGCTAATGTTTGCATTTTTAGAGACGGGGTTTCACCGTGTTGACCAGGCTGGTCTCGACCTCTTGACTGCCAGTGATCCTGGCCTATTGTCAGCAGATTTTATAGTTCTTTTCTATGTGGGAGTCATTTGTTATGGTCTTAGGTTACCATTGCCAGAAGGAAAAATCTGTAGTTTTTTTTTTTAAGATGATTTCTGTTGCATACGATGTGTTTCATAACTGAGACTAAAAACAAAGTAACAAGGTGGTGAATTTAATCAGAAAACGCATCTATTTTCAAATCAAAGCTGATGTAATTTTAGGGTTGTTTGTTATTGAGAGTCATCTGTTAATGTGGTTTCAGACTTGATATTACTCTCTAATCATAAAATGACACTCTATAATTTTTTCCAAGGCACCAGAGAGGGTAATAGTGAGATAGGGAAAGTGTAAAACTAGAAAACAATAGAACTGGAAATCTTGATATATTCTTACCGATAGATTTAAGTAAATTGACAGCAAAAGATTTTCTCATTCTTTCCTCAGGCATTCAGTACTTCTTATGTAAATAATAAAACCATTTAAATCGTTAACTGTCAGTGATATAAGTGTTCCTAGGTCTCATCTATCAACAAAACTATTTTCAGAATAATCCCCAAATTGAATTCTTTCTAAAAATTGTATTTCTATCTGAATGGTATATCAGAGCTTAGATGTCACAAGGGTAGTATTTATCTCTGTAGTCCACAGAAGTAACAATGCATGTTCATTCTGATAGCTTTATGTCTTTTCTTCATTTAGCAGCATTAATATGATGGGGTAAGATAACTTTTCTTTCTTTTCTCTTTTTTTTTTTGTTTTTTTGATCAGTAAGACTATCAGAAAGATAACTTTTCTTTCTTTAAAGCAATGTTATATTTAATAGCTACTTAAACAGTCAGTACATTTCAATGAAAAGCCTGAAGGCTTTGTATTTAGAAGCCCAGGCCAGCAAGCTTTATACCAAAGTCTTGTTTTAAGAATAGGATAATTGAAATGTAAGTTCTGAAGCAAAAGTTTGCAGAGAATTTATCTTTGATTTACCTGAAGGACTTTCCCTCTAATTACGCAGAAATCAGGGCAAGCACACACAAAGAAAGGCTCTGTTCTCGGGTGTCTGTGGATGCTGGGGCTGATGTGGCCTCTCTTAGAATAGGTTTCTATTCTAGATAACAGAGCTGGCCCTGAAGCAAAATGGAATACAGGTGGGCAAATAGAGTGAACTAAAATGTGTGTCTTTGAGGGAAAAGTGCCCTTAGCAAATGTTTTCCCTGGTGTGTGCATTCTTAGTAGTGTGCGGGGCATATGTGGTAATACACGCATTCAGTTACCAATTAAATCAGTCATTGACTCAGTAAAACTATTTGAGTGACTCCCCTGTGCCAGGGTACCAGGACTGTCCTCGTTGGGGGAATAAAAGTGAAACTATAGTGCTTTCTCCTCTAGAAATCAGGATCTAGCGGAAAGCAAGGTGGGAAGGGAAGGAAGCTGGCCGGTGCAGCTTGGCTCTGTGCTGAGCATTCCTGTCCACTTAACTGTCGGTAATCGTCTGAACCCCTGCAGACCTGGGAGAAGCTATTCTATTGAAGAGGCTGTATGGCGTCAGGGAGAGAAGCCAGGCTTTAGAGTCACATGGCTCTAATCGTGTGTCTCACCCTCTCTGTGTCCCCGTGCTCTCCCTCTGTAAGATGGGGACAGTGACGGCACCCACCTCCCAGGTCCGCCGTGGGACTGATGCGAGGGTGCGGGGCAGTGTGGGAATGGAGTCTGCACATGGTGGGTGGTCAGGCAGCAGCCACTGTGCTGTCACCTCCATTTGGGAAGTGAGCAAGTCTTTTACCAAGCAATAGTGAGGAAGCAACAGGAACACATTCGAATCTAGGTTTACCTAACATAGTCCCTGGAATTCTCACGAAACAATTCTGCCTCCGTCCCCAGTATAAAATAATTCTTCCCATGTGTCAAGAGTGGGAAATCAAGTCACATTTTTCTATGGAAACCAGAACTCCGAAGGATAGAAGATGAGCCTTAATCATGGCCCCTCAGGTAGCTCAGCTGTCTTCTTCCTTCATTAATATTGTTCTCTTAAATCAACAGTAGGCCTTGCTGTCCTTGATATTAAAGATATTGAAAAATGCTAAGATGTGCGAGGCACCAGTTTCATTGACTTTCTGTGATCTCTATGAAGGAATGTGTGCTCTATGTACTAATTTATTCATTGGTGAAACCCATCATAGCTGTACTCCTTTGGGCAAAAAAAAAAAAAAAAAAAAAGAGAGACAGTATTTCCAGGGCTTATATTATCTCAGGGCTTTTTATCTTTTTTGAATTGGGAGGGGGATTAGAGAATATAGTATTGATCTGCCTTTAAATGACATTTCATACACCAGTCGCTGTGCAGTGGGGATAAAGCCCCTCCTCCGCCCACTCAGAAAGGGGGGACCATTTCCTGCTCCAGATGTGGTCGCTGGAATCTCTGGGAGGCGTCCTTCTGCGGCTGGTGTGGCGCCATGGTGGGTATTTTATTTTATTTATTTTTATTATTTTTTATTTTTTTTAATCAAGAGACCTTCAAAGCTACTACAAATCAACATGGTGGGTATTTTAAAACTGATGTTCTGTATACTGAGCACCTCACCACTGGCCTGGAGAGAGCCAGGCAAATCTTCCATGGCCTTGCAGAAATCATTTCTTGTGATTTCGCTACTGCACCTATAATCTAAGAATCTGGAGATAGAGATAATTATCTTACGTTGAGAGCCATCTCTCATGACTGTTTTGATTTGTATTTGTTTGAGGTTAAACCTTTTCACTCATTTATTGACTACTGGCGTTTTTTAAAATGAGTTCTGTCTGCTTGCCTTTATAATAAAACACTCAAGACTATGTATTTATTCATTTATCTAAGTATTGTATGCAAATAATAAAAAAGTTTTCGAGTGAAGTGTTAGTTTCCTTTCTCATCTAAGTCCCAGAGTTCTCCTCTCAGAAGCAATTGCCAACACCCAGTTCTGGAGATGCTCTTTCAGCTATTCAATGCATGTATAAGTAAACTGGTGCTATGAAAACTGATCCAATTATTTTCACTTAGCAACGTATCTTGTTAGTAACCTCCTCATTCTTTTCAGTGGCTTCATAATCCATTGTTTTTTTTTTTTTTTTTTCTTTTTTTGGTGGAGGGGGGGTTTCTCTCTTTTTTCCCAGGCGGGGGGGCAAAGGGGCGGTCTCGGCTCACCGCAACCTCCGCCTCCTGGGTGCAGGCAATTCCCCTGCCTCAGCCTCCTGAGTAGCTGGGATTACAGGCACGCGCCACCATGCCCAGCTGAATTTTTGTATTTTTAGTAGAGACGGGGTTTCACCATGTTGACCAGGATGGTCTCGATCTCTTGACCTCGTGATCCACCCGCCTCGGCCTCCCAAAGTGCTGGGATTACAGGCATGAGCCACCGCGCCCAGCCAATAATCCATTGTTTGTATGCATGTACTGTGATCTATTTAGGCCATCCCTATTGCTGGATATTTGTGTTGTTTTCAGTGGTTTCTTTAAAATCACAGTGCTTTAGGGCTTGACCTGGAGTACACTTATTTCTCTGCTTGTCCCTCTGTGGGACAAATTCTGGAAGGTGGAATGGCTGGATCAGAGAGTGTGGGCATATGTTATTTCATATGGTACGAGAATCATTTACATGAGGACATTTTAACTCTAATATTCATAAAGACATTTTCTGTCCTCTAGCTTGGCATTCCTGCCGGCTGCTCTGTTTGCCCTAAATGTGGGGCCAGCAATCACCTGTCTGCCCGATTCTGTGGCTCCTGTGGTATTTGTGTGAAGTCCTGGGTGAGGCTCAGCATGGACAGAGGCCTGGCTCTAGCTGCTGAGGAGCCTCGCCCTTTTTCCGAGGTGAGGCCTCCCCTGTAGTAAGAACTGGTATCCGGGAAAAGGTTGTAACTCTGAATGTGTGTCCTCTACCCTGTGAATCAACCCAGGGAAGAGACCCAAAATATTGAGAACTTTCACATGGAATTTCAACGGGTGTGCAAATAAATGCAGTCGATTTAGATTTTAAACACTCAAATGATTTCTTCAGAAATCAAAGATCTAAATGGGCATATTTGTGTGCAGTAAATTGAGGTCTGTGTCGTTACATTTGCAAGGCCGTGGACATAATGCCACTTTAGAATGCACTTCTCTTGAATTTCTTGCGTAGCATTCTGAGAACTTTTCCTTCCCCTTTTTTTATATTTTAGAAAACTTAGGTATATAAAATTGCTTTTGTGATTTATAACAGCTGGGCATAATTTGAGAAAATCTCACCAGGTTATTTTCAGAAGTACTTAAGCTCTAAAACTGGCTTGGTGTTAGATTTTTGTAATTTTATGAATTTCTCTAAGCTGGATAAGACTTTTCATGTTTCTTCTTACCTCTTCAGTATAAGAAGTTAAAGATTGATAATTACTAGAGGATACACTCAGCACTTTGTATACAGTTTTAGGGAATTCATGGCTTCTTGACCCAGTTTGAAAGATTTAAATCTTGGACTGCCACTAGCCCTTATTCCTTTGTGCAAATGAAACAAAGGTGTTCTTTTCTTGAGACACATGACTGCCATCTATTGGTAATGGCTTGTAATATACTGGTTTCTCTACTAGAAAAATTATTCGAATACATATGCAAATATATGATGTTTACCATTTGAATGGTACTACTTTCAATGCAGTGACTGTGTGCAGTGCACAACCCACACAAGCTTACATGGTAGTCCTCTCAGGTCCTCAGATTCAGATGCAGGAGAGTATATTAGCGGAAATGTTGGTGACCAGTAGCTGTGTATGAGTGGTGAAATCTGTGCTCTATTGCATTATAGAGCTGACAAGGATAGGTATGTTCCAGGCGTCATGCAGGCCAGCAAACATCCCTTGATTTGCTGAATTTTAGATAATAAATGGCTACTCATGGATCAGGCTGGGAGCTGGTGGGAAAGACAGGAGCAAAGAACATGAGGCAAAAGCTGGAAACCCTTTTAGCTCAAAGTACAGTTTTTTTGAGATACATTTTATTCCAATTAGAATTGTTTTCTATAAGTAAAATGGAAGATTGATTAAATTATATTCTAATTTAAAAAAATGTTTTCTGCCTCACTTATAGCCCCGATGTGCCTGGCAGTCTCTGATTCCTTTGCCCAGATCTGATGCTGGGACTAAGAGGGACATAGGCACACAGACTGTGGGCCTGTTCTACCCATCCAGCAAGCTGCTAGCAAAAAAGGAACTGGAAATAGTCTCTCAAAAACAGAGGCAGGAGAAAATGAGTGACCACAAACCCCTTCTCACAGCCATCAGCCCAGGAAGAGGTAAGGGGGAGGATGCCCTTTCTTCTGGTTGGGAGGGAATTCACTCTTTCTTTGAAAGGACATTTCATTTTCTCTTCCTGTTAGATTTATTTTTATGTGTAAGAAGTAAGTTTCTTTTTTCTCCAAGTAATTTTCTTTGTGTGAAAAAGAAGCTCTTCCTGTCAGCTCCTCCTTAAACCTTCAGTACTCCGATGTTTTAGCTCACAGCCCTGTTGTCTAGCTCCTCAGTCACATGGCGCACGCGGGTTTCTTTTGTCATGGTAGACATGTTGTTAGTGTGCAGTGCTATTGCTATCTGCCATTATCCCTTTTTTTATTGTGGTAAAATTTATATAACATAAAATTCACCTTTTTGACTATTTATAAGTATATAATTTGGGCGAGGTGTGGTGACTCATGCCTGCAATATCAGCACTTTGGGAGGCCAAGTCTGGAGGATCCCTTGAGTCTAGGAGTTTGAGACCAGTCTGGGCAACAAAGTGAGACCCTGTCTCTACATTTTTTTTTAAGCAGTCAGGTGTGGTGGTGCATGCCTGTGGTCCCCAGCTAGCTGCTTCAAAATTCACTTTGAAACTTCATCTCCATTGTGGTGGTATTAAGCAGTGGGACCTTTTGGAAATTGATCATGGGGATGGAGCCCTCATGATAAACCTTATGAAAGGACTGGAGGGAACGAGCTAAGTCCCCTTTTTGTCCTTTGGCCATTCCTCCATGTGAGGACACAGCATTCCCCTTCTTTGGAGGATACAGCAACAAGGCACCATCTTAGAAGAAGAGAGACCAGGCCCTTGCCAGATACCTAATCTGCAGGGACCTTTATTTTGGACTTCTAGCCTCTAGAACTGTGAGAAATAAATTCCTCTTCTTTATAAATTATCCAGTCTCAGATATTTTGTTTATAGCAGCACAAATGGACTAATACAGTTTGCTAGTATTTTATTGAAGACTTTTTTGTCTATATTTATAAGAGATAATAGTCTGCAGTTTTCTTCTTTCTTTTTACTGTCTGATTTTGGTATCAGGATAATGGTAGCCTTATAGAAACACTTCTCTTTTTTTTTGTATATGCGCTGCCGAGGTGAGCACTACTTCTTTTTTTGTGAAGTGATTATGAAGAATTGGTACTAACTATTATTTAAATTTTGGTAAATTACCTGTGAATCTATCCGGACCTGAGGTTTGTCTAGTGGGCACTTCTGATTACTCTTTACTTTTTATAGGTCTATTCAGATTTTCAGTTCAATCAGTTTTGGTAGTTTGTGTTTTTCTAGATATTTATCTGTTTCATCTGATTAATTTATTAGCATACAGTTGTTTGTGATACTCTTTTACAATCTTTTTTATTTCAGTAAAATTGGTGATAACATCTCTTATTTCTAATTCTAGTAACTTGAGATGTCACTTTTTTTGGTCAATCTTGCTAACGGTTTGTCAATTTTGTTGATCTTTTCCCAGAGCCAACTTTTGATTTTATTGATTTTGTATTATTTTTATATTCTGTATTTCATTAAATTCGGCTCTAATCCTGATTTCCTTCTTTCTTCTTAATTTAAGTTGACTTTGTTATTTCTCTGGTTTCTTAAGGCCAAAGATTAGGGTGATGATTTGGAGCTCTTTCTTCTAAATATGAGCATTTGCTGCTATAAATTTCTGTTTGAGCTTTGCTTTCACTGCGTCCCATAAGTTTGTTGTACCTTCATTCCTTTTTTTCTTTTTTACTTTTTCTTTTTTGAGATAGAGTCTCCCTTCGTCGCCCAGGCTGAGTACAGTGGCACAATCATGGCACTCCACAGCCTTGACCTCCTGGGCTCAAGTGATCCTCTCACCTCAATCTCCTGAGTAGCTGGGAGCACAGGCGCAAGCCACCACACCTGGCTAATGATTTTTTTTTTTTTTTTTTTTTTTTTTTTTTTTTTTTTTTTGAGACGGAATTTCGCTCTTGTTACCCAGGCGGAGTGCAATGGCGCGATCTCGGCTCTGGGATTACAGGCTTGAGCCACCACGCCCGGCCTCACCTGGCTAATTTTTTTTTTTTTTTTGAGGCGGAGTTTCGCTCTTGTTACCCAGGCTGGAGTGCAATGGCGCGATCTCGGCTCACCGCAACCTCCGCCTCCTGGGTTCAGGCAATTCTCCTGCCTCAGCCTCCTGAGTCGCTGGGATTACAGGCACGCACCACCATGCCCAGCTCATTTTTTGTAGTTTTTTAGTAGAGACGGGGTTTCACCATGTTGACGAGGATGGTCTCGATCTCTTGACCTCGTGATCCACCCGCCTCGGCCTCCCAAAGTGCTGGGATTACAGGCTTGAGCCACCGCGCCCGGCACCTGGCTAATTTTTAAACGTTTTTGTAGAGATGGAGTCTCACTGTGTTGCCTGGTCCTATCTCAAACTCTTGGGCTCAAGTAAGCCTCCCACCTTAGCCTCCCAGAGTGCTAGGATTGCAGGCATGAACCACTGTGTCCAGCACCATGAATCAGGGCTTTTTGTCCATTCTGACAATCCCTGTTTTTTTTTATTGGATTGTTTCATCCATCTGCATTTAATGTTATTATTGATAAAGGTGGACTTACGCAATTTGCCTTTTGTTTTCCAAATGTTTCTAAATGCCTTTTTTGCTCTTCTATTGCTTCTTTTTTTTTTTTTTTGAGACGGAGTTTCACTCATGTTACCCAGGCTGGAGTGCAATGGCGCGATCTCGGCTCACCGCAACCTCCGCCTCCTGGGTTCAGGCAATTCTCCTGCCTCAGCCTCCTGAGTAGCTGGGATTACAGTCACGCACCACCATGCCCAGCTAATTTTTTGTATTTTTAGTAGAGACGGGGTTTCACCATGTTGACCAGCATGGTCTCGATCTCTTGACCTCGTGATCCACCCGCCTCGGCCTCCGAAAGTGCTGGGATTACAGGCTTGAGCCACCGCGCCCGGCCTCTCTATTGCTTCTTTACTGCTTTCTTTTGCATTGCATGTTTTCTTTTTTTTTTGAGACGGAGTTTTGCTCTTGTTACCCAGGCTGGAGTGCAATGGCGTGATCTCGGCTGACCGTAACTTCCGCCTCCTGGGTTCAAGCAATTCTCCTGCCTCAACCTCCCAAGTAGCTGAGACTGCAGGCATGCGCCACCATGCCCAGCTAATTTTTATATTTTTAATAGAGATGGGGTTTCACCATGTTGGCCAGGATGGTCTCGATCTCTTGACCTCGTGATCCACCCGCCTCGGCCTCCCAAAGTGCTGGGATTATAGGCATGAGCCACTGCGCCTGACCCTTGCATTGCATGTTTTCCAATGTAACATTTTGATTTCTTTAATGACTTTTTCACTACATATTTTGAGTTATTTCCTTAGTGGTATTGTAGGGTTTTCCTAATACATCTTACCAGAGTATGCTTCAGGTTTATAGTAACTTAAGTCCAATGAAATATAGAGATACTAACCCTATAATTCAATTCCCTCTTCCCAATTTTTGTGGCATTAAAAAAATTTATTTATGCGCCGGGCGCAGTGGCTTAAGCCTGTAATCCCAGCACTTTGGGAGGCCAAGGCGGGTGGATCACGAGGTCAAGAGATCGAGACCATCCTGGTCAACACAGTGAAACCCTGTCTCTACTAAAACTACAAAAAAATCAGCTGGGCATGGTGGTGCGTGCCTGTAATCCCAGTGACTCAGGAGGTTGAGGCAGGAGAATTGCCTGAACCCGGGAGGCGGAGGTTGCAGTGAGCCGAGATCGCGCCATTGCACTCCAGCCTGGGTAACAAGAGTGAAACTCCGTCTCAAAAAAAAAAAAAAAAAAAAATTTATTTATTATATTTTAAGTCCTGGGGTATATGTGCAGAACATGAGGGTTTGTTACATAGGTATACATGTGCCATGGTGGTTTGCTGCACTATCACCTTATCATCTACATTAGATATTTCTCCTAATGCTATCCCTCTCAAACCCCTCCACCCCCTGCTATCCCTCCCCTAGCCCCCCACCTCCCTACAGGCCCCGGTGTGTGATGTTTCCCTCCCTGTGTCCGTGTGTTCTCATTGTTCAATATCCACTTATGAGTGAGAACATGAGGTGTTTGGTTTTCTGTTCCTGCGTTAGTTTGCTGAGAATGATGGTTTCCAGCTTCATCCATGTGCCCACAAAGGACATGAACTCATCCTTTTTTATGGCTGAATAGTATTCCATAGTGTATATGTGCGTGGCATTATTTTATAACATTATATTTATGTTTACATATATGTTATAAACTCTCGAAACACTTGCAATTATTAGTTTATAACATGTCTTTTAAAGATGCTTAAAGAAAAAAGAACAATTCCATATTTGAGGCTTTTGTTATATTAGCCTTCCTTCTTCCCATTTATAGTCCTCTTAATTTATTCCTTTGGATTCATTTCCTAAGCTCAACGAAGCTTTGCTCTTACCCACCTCCTTTGTGTTGTTATTGGTCAATGTATTTTATTTCTATATGTTACAGGCCAAACATTATAATTATATTCATAGGAAAAGAAATATGCATTTATAATATCTTCTATAATTACATAACTACCTTTACTGGTAGTGGGTGTGTGGGAGGGCGGATTCATATTACTCTCTAGGGTCATTTGCTTTCAGCCTAAAGAACTTCCTAAGAATTCGTATAAGGTGGGTGGGCTAGCAATGAATGCTCTGTTTTTGTTAAACTCTACTAGCTATAAGAGTCTTGCTTTACAGTTATATTCTTTGAACACTTTGAATATGTTAATCTGCTGTCTTCTGGCCTCCATGATTTCTGATGAGAGTTCTGCTGTATTGGGGATCCTTTGAAGCTTAGGAGTCACTTCTCTCTTGCTTCTTTCAAGATTCTCTTCTTGTCATATTCTTTCAGCAGTTTGATAATGTGTCTTGCTGTGGATCTCTTTAAGAGCTTCTTTTTTTTTTTTTTTTTTTGAGACGGAGTTTCGCTCTTGTTACCCAGGCTGGAGTGCAATGGCGCGATCTCGGCTCACCACAACCTCCGCCTCCTGGGTTC